TGGCTTTATCCACACATTTATTTTGTTCTCTGAGCATTTTTAAGCTACTGTTTTATAGTAATTGTTGCATATGCCAACAACTAACTAACTAGCTAGCTAACTAACTAACTAAATGTACTATAGTTATGGTCTAATAAGACCACCATCTGGCCATTCTGGACTCCTTCCTTCTTCCTTCCTCCTTCCTTCCATTCTTTCTTTCCTTTTTCTTCTTCCTCCTTCAAAAGGAGAAATACCTGATTTTCAAAGGTTTCTTTTCTTTTTGTTTACATACAAGTGAGTGTGTACCACATGAGTGCATTTTCCTCAGAGTCCAGAGGGGGCATCAGATCCTATGATGCTAGAATTTAAATCAGATGTGAGTGCCCTTGCCAGAGTTTAAGGAACCAAATTTTGGTCCTTTGCAAGAGTAGCAAGTGCTCTTAACTACAGAGCCATTATCTCTCCAGCCCTGGCACAACTTCTTTTGGTTTACTTCTCCTCTTTGTATTGCTCCTTCTTAGTACTAGTTTCCAATGGAGTTGGTAGTTCTACAATGACCTTGAAAAGACACCTAACATTTGAAAGTTTCAAATGAGGATCTGAGGTTTGTTAATTTAGTTAAAATCTACTGAGTGTTTTCTCTGTGGCCTCCAAATTCTTTGACTTTCTTCTATCGAGTCTTTCTTTGACTATAGATTCTGTGACTATTTGTCAACAGCTTATATCAAGAGTGCTACCATTCTGGATTCTAGATCAGACTTCAGGAAAACGTAATCCTCTACTTCTGGTCCTTGGGAGAACTGACTCCTGGAGTTGGCCACCATACTGTTGGGAATCCCAAGCAGCCAGTGGAGAGGCATACATGAAGGGGAGCCAACCTTCCTGTTAAAGCCCTAGGAGACACTTGCAGTTGACAGCCAGCAGCAACTTATTGCCAAGTGGAAAGTTTGAAGTTGGATACCTCAGTTTTCTGTCAGGCAACCACCAACCACCGCTGGCACCATATGGAATCGAGGTGCTTCCAGTTTATCCATTTTTAAATTAACGGAATCCATTCTCTAGAGCAGAGCTGGGCAAAGAAATACAGTGTGATCCACATATATTGTTTTATATTTTCTAGTAACTACATTGCAAAAAATAAATGCAACAGACCAAATTACTTTTAGAGAAAAAATTTGATTATGTAAAAGTATTGGAACTCATCAATATATACAATGTTATAATTTCATCATGCAATGAAAATGAAAGTTATGAGCATTTCTACATCCCTTGTCATTGTACATGGTTGAGATTTAGACCGATAGCATGTAATCTTAGTGGTTACATGGATGGCTATATTTAACAATCAGTTCAGACTGGCTAAATTTCAAATGCTCAACAGCCACATGTGTCCAGTGTTGCCTGAACTGGAGACTGCAACTCAAGAATGAGAGGGTTGGAACCCAAAATATTCTCACAACTCAATAGAGAAACAGAACAGGATACACAGAGGGGAACTGACTTGGGTGGGGTTGGGCAATCCAGTGGTTTGCATGGTGTCAGCCCCCACATGCCCATGTCACAATTCCTGTAACCTATGATTGTTATCTTGTCTTTTTAGTTGTGAACCTAGGCTTTATGTCTGAGGCACCTCTCTAGACTAATCCACCAATATTATCTTATTTAGAAAATGTCTTCCTAGATGTTATTAACTTGAGGATGTTGGGATAAAGAGATCATCCAGGTTATTGGGGTGAGCCTGAAGTCCAATGACAATTGCCCTTGTATGAATGAAGTCTGGTCTGAAGAGACCTTGGCTCCATTTACAATCCAGAGCAACCTGCTCTCTGTCACCTCCGAAGCCTACCAAATTTCCAGCGTTTACTCCGGTGATCAGAATAGGGACTCTAGGGATCTGGACACACACACTAATCTTCTGCTCTTTTGGCTTATGACACCATGCCATGTCCTTCCCCCTTCCTCATCTTTTCAGAGGACCTCTTTGTTGCTCTCTGTTTCTATCTTTCCTTGTTTAAAGTATGTTTCCTATGTGGGACCCAGGGTCATCTTTATCCTATACTGTACCAGGCCACCTCTCTCTCTCTCTCTCTCTCTCTCTCTCTCTCTCTCTCTCTCTCTCTCTCTCACACACACACACACACACACACACACACACACACACACACACACACACATTAAAAGGCTGTTGCCTCTTTTCCAGACACAGAGACTGCCCTGCTTTTTGTCCAGTGTGATGAGCTGGTTCCAGCCCTAGGTCATTTGCACTGGTGCTTTTCTCTAGAACATTCTAGCCTCAGACAGGACCGTGGCTCCCACCTCATTTTATCACTTTACTCAAGGTTTTGCTCAGATGTCCTTTATTATAAAGATTTTTTTTGGTTCTTTCTTTCTTTCTTTCTTTCTTTCTTTCTTTCTTTCTTTCTTTCTTTCTTTCGTTTTTCGAGACAGGGTTTCTCTGAATAACCACCCTAGCTTTCCTGAAACTCATTCTGTAGACCAGGCTGGCCTCAAACACAGAGATCCACCTGCTTCTGCCTCCTGAGTGCTGAGATTAAAGGCATGCACCACCATTGCCCAGCTTCTTTGTTCTTTATAATGCTTTGATTTTTTTTTTTAAAAAAACAGCACCACATGGTAGAGCTTTACTTCCTGATAGATTATTGTCCATCACTCACATTCGTTAGTCTATTAGCTCCATGAAGGTAGAGCCTTTTTTTCTGGCTTATTTTAGCGTCTGGACTAGCATGTGCAAGTGTGCAGTCGATTTTTCTTCAATGAATGAACAAATGAATGGTTGAACTCAGGAATGCAAGCTCTATTTAATAATGTCTCCCCCCTCAAGAGAACTTAGAGGCCAAAAAAAAAAAAAGATATTCAAAGGCCATAGTTTGACCTCTGACCTATAGGTATCTGGGTCTAATGGCACCCTTATTCCCTAGCCTCCCTTCACACAGTTCTTCCAGGAATGGAATGACTTTTAGGACAGCAGCCCTTGCAACTCCGGGCCTAGACATCATGAGGTAGTTTGTTGTTACAGACCAAAGTCACTGGGGGCACTTGGTTCAAAAGACAGGATGTGGGCTGTGAGCCTCCAGTCTATCGTTCAAAGGAAATCTCCTCCAGCAGCGATGTCTCCTGGGATGTTTTCCCAAGCCTCCCTGGGAGGTGCTGGAGCCTTTCAAAAGACTAAGAATAGATAGGCACATCCAGTTTCCCAAACATGTCAACCTTAAAAGTGAGTGCTATTTTTCTCCCTTCTTACCTTTGAATTACTATGTAGGAGAAGGACACTGTATTATTATAGGCATGGCTCACCATGCTGTGGTTAGATACTTAATACCGTACCTCGGTAGCTTCCAGGCAGAATGGTTGGAGCAATAGGTAAGCTCTACCACTACTGAGGTCCACGCCTTTGTCACTAGTGTGTGCTTTGTAGTTGAGACAGCCCAACCACCATTCTACGACAGTGTGTGTATCCCTTAATCACTCCCATCTCATTGTGCTTGTCCATAGGAGATCTTACCTAATCTACAACCGAACAAGACAGCAAGACAGTGCACATGATGACACTCACCCCGCACTTAATGTTTTACCCCCCTCTCTTTCTTTCTTTCTTTCTTTCTTTCTTTCTTTCTTTCTTTCTTTCTTTCTTCCTTCCTTCCTTCCTTCCTTCCTTCCTTCCTTCCTTCCTTNTTTCTTTCTTTCTTCCTTCCTTCCTTCCTTCCTTCCTTCCTTCCTTCCTTCCTTCCTTTCTTTCTTTCTTTCTTTCTTTCTTTCTTTCTTTCTTTCTTTCCTCACTTGCTGGTTATGGTATAGGTAACTTTCATTTACTCTGTTATTTAGTGCTCACTGGGCTTGTAGGAGGTGTCAGATGCTAAACTTGACACCAGGTGACACGGAGGTCTCATTGACACTGTCTGGGTCATGTGGAAGAGTTCACTGTCTGATGCCATCCCTCGTTCGCAGGGTGTAGAGCATGACGGGGTGGGGGAGATGTAGGTGCAGTACCTTATATAATACCCAGTGTCGTCATCATCAGCTACTTTCCCATCCTCCAGATTGCATCGAAAAGTGTGTGGCGTTGGATACTGATGTGCCCTGAATACTTTGGAATTTCCTCTCCTAACAAATAAAGGAAGGCTTCAGTCTCTCATGAAGACAGCACCTGGGAGATTTTAACGACATAAACCTATGTACATCCAACCATATAGGCCTTTTGTTTTAAGATACTGCACAAATATAAATTTGTGAAGCTGGCACCTAAGTGAATGACATTTAGGGATACACTCATGTGTTAAATTGACTTCCCCTCCTCATTTTACAGCTGGGGAAACTGAGTTCCTTTGTGGAGAGAATTCTCTTCTAAGGGTTCCAGCAAGCAGAAACAAGTCTTCCTTTTGGTGGAGTTAGATATATAATATAAAGCGTGCTCCTCCCTTACCTCTGCAGAACGTGTGTGTGTGTGTGTGTGTGTGTGTGTGTGTGGCCACAGGCCTCTCCGGATGAGTGACAGCGAAAGCCCATCCCTCCAGGAGACGCATGAAGAATGACCAATGGGATGGATGGAGGGTGTTGGGTACCAATCTCTGCAGAGGCCAGGGTGAAACTGGCTGCGTCCAGCCTGTTCCACCCCCATCTCCCCGAGTTCCTCAGGCCCTTCCGTGTACGGTCCTTGCTGGGACACGGGAGGTGCTCATCTTAATGCACTTGGGGACAAGGATAGGGTGCCAGGGTGCGGCTCGCGCCTGTCCAGCTCAGGCTGCGGTCCCCGCGCTGCAGCGCTGCAGCTAAGAACACTTGATTGGGAGGCCGGAGGACTGCGGCGTGTGTGTGTGTGTGTGTGTGTGTGTGTGTGTGTGTGTGGTGATGCCAATATGTAAAGCGACTGGCGGTTCTGGGCGGGGCCTGGGCCCGATGCAAATGAGGAAGGCGGGGTTACCCTGTGGCTCCGCCTCCCTCCCCCGCAGCTGGGGCCAGCGGTGCCAAGCACAGCTGGACCAGCGGCAGCAGCTGGGCGAGTGACAGCCCAGCTCCGCGCGCGCGGCCGCCGCCAGAGCCGGCGCGAAGGGGCAGCGCGGCCCCGCGGTCCCCGGGCGGCAGCAGCGGCCGCCTAGTCCCGCGCCTCTCCCGGCCCGCAGCCCCGCGGTCCCGCCGCCCCGGGGCCGCCACCTCTCGGGGCTCCCCCGGTCCCCGCGCGCAAGATGGCTGACCCGGCTGCGGGGCCGCCGCCGAGCGAGGGCGAGGAGAGCACCGTGCGCTTCGCCCGCAAAGGCGCCCTCCGGCAGAAGAACGTGCACGAGGTGAAGAACCACAAATTCACCGCCCGCTTCTTCAAGCAGCCCACCTTCTGCAGTCACTGCACCGACTTCATCTGGTGAGAGCGCGCCGCGCGGGCCACCTGCCCGGGGCCCCAGAGGGTAGCGACACGCGTGGGGACCCCTCTCGCCGCCCCCGGGGGAGGGACCGTGTGCCCTTCTCATCCCGCTGGACCCTTCTGCCCCGTTCTCTGGGATGGTCCAGTCTCTCAGGTGCCGGCTCCTCTGGTCCCAGACGACTAGCTAGCCACCAAGAGCTTTCTGCCCTCTTGCACTCTGTCGCCTGAGCGCCCGGGGACAGCGCCGCAGGCGCCTTTTCGACACCTGGCTCAGGGCGCAGGGTGGCTCGGCAGGGCAGCTCCACGGGTGGCTTTCTCGCCTGGGGTTCCCGATCTTTCTGCCTTCTTCCGGGCTTGAGGCGCTCTCACCCTCACCCCTCCTTTCCGGGGCAGTTCCCTAGGGTGTCCTTTAGTTCCCCGGGGCGTGGAGCATCCTTTCCCTCTCAGTGTCCCCCAGAGTAGTCCCCTGGGTTATCACTTACTGAACCCCCAGAGTCCTGAGGCCCCCCACATCTTTATTTCTCAGTTCTCGCCCTCACGTCGCTTCAGGGTCCCTTTATTCCCCCTGCCTCTCGAGGACTGGGGCGACCTTTTCTTTCTCCTAGTCTCTCAGGCAATACTGCCGCGGTGGAGTCCCTCTCGTCCTCCTTTTTCTCTTTTCTGGAGGGTTCTCCCGGCACCTCCTTGGGCAGATATCCAGCCCGCCTTCCGCCCCCACCCGGACGGAAATGCACCCTCGCATCCCGCCACCTGGTGGTCGCGGTCTCGTCTAAACTGCAGGGGAGATGTGAGGTGGGGGTTACTGCCAAGCCCCCATAATGTACCCCACAATTCCACCCAAGGCGGAAGATGCTTGGGCACCGGCCTGTAGCAAGGAGCTTGCATCTGGGGTAGAAGGACAGTGGGGAGGGAGGGGGCTACTGTGTGAAACTAGCCGATAACTGGACCCCTCAGACTGATATTCCTCCTTGTGCTTTACAGGGGCTTCGGGAAGCAGGGATTCCAGTGTCAAGGTAGGCTCTGTGGCTCTGTGGCTCTGTGGATGCTGATGGTGGGAAGTGAGGATAAAGCAGACTTCACAGACGTGGCTGAGTTAGGCAGAGTGAAGTAATTCTGCCTGTCAGAGTGACCTCCCAGGCTAGGAATCCTTCACCACCAAAGGGTCCTTTTAAGGGGTGTGTGTTTGGGCCAATGATGCACCTTCCAGGAAAGGCCAGAGGAGCTGGAAGGCCCTAAATGTCAAAAAGTGCATCCATCCCTCTGCCTTCGGAGCATTCTCCAGGAATTGCCAGCCCTGCTTAAGTAAGCAAATGTCTTGAAGGAGTCTTGTGAGTGGAGGGAACCTCTTCCTAATCCCAGCCCATTCCTGCTCATTGCTCTTCGCCTCCCAGGAGGTTCAGCCTCTTTCCCCTGCTTTGCAGAGGTCTCAGCAGGTGGCTGCCTCCTCTGCAGATGGCGCATCCCCTAGAAAAAGCAACTGTGGTTTCCCCTGGGCCTCCTCCTGCTCTGAAAGGGGTGGTTCCAGATAGGGTGCCTCTCGATCCTGCCTGAGGTTGCCCTTTTTAACTTCTGAGAAGGCAAAGGAAGGACTCCAAGAGACTAGTTGCCTGGGTCCTTGCATCTGGGTTGAGAGCCATGATTCCAACTAGGGCCGCCCTATCAAATATCAGAGACCCGGTGGCCTCTCCTATCTTTAGGGCTCCCGTCTACAAAACGTCTTGTGGGCTGGGCAATGTAGCTCAGGAGAACGGGAGCTTTGTGCCAGAGAGGCTCTGGAGTACATCATCCGAAATGGGGGAGGGGAAAAGATGGGTTTTAAATTGGATCTCCAAAGATGACTTGCTTGTAGTCTTTTTTAACTCTTCGAATACCATAAGTAGCCTGTGAATTTGGTGTTAGCATCCTAGAACTGCAAGATCTCTCTCTCTCTCTCTCTCTCTCTCTCTCTCTCTCTCTCTCTCTCTGTCTCTCTCACACGCATGCACACATGCATGTGCTCACACATACAACTTCACCTTGAACATTGTCTATACTTCCACGCTGGAACAATTATTTGGACCTGAGGGCATCCCTTTAGCGAGATGGAACACATTTACCACTGTGTCTGTCCATCCAACACTGGCCTGCTTCTGATACCCTACACCACTTGAATTTGCTGGTTTGTTCCCTCTTTCCCCTTTAGGCCAGGTAAGGTTGAGTGTAGTCAGGAGGTTCTTTATTCCTCTCTTCCCCTCCCCTCCTCTCCTTACTCCTCCTATCTCCCCCCCTTCCATCTCCCTGGTTCTCCCCCTTTCCCTCTCCTCCCTTAGTCTCACTTTGCACCCAGACTGGCCTTGATCCGGATCTTGTTCTGTCCTCCTGTTTTAGCCTTCCAAGTGCTAGGATTACATGTGTGCTTAGCACCAAACTGACACCCACCATCCTGTAAATTGTCCTTAAATCTGGAGAAGAAAGCGTATAGGTGTGGAACAGCCTGAAATGCGTCTTAGTGCCTATGCAGCATGAGCTTTGCCTGGCAAGGTTGCTCTGCAGGCGAAAATAAAAAGACCCCAGCAAGCAGAGGTGGCTCTGATTTGCATGGAATGTTGATCTATAGAGTGTATGTTCCCTGCTGCCCTAAGCTGCAGGTTCTTATTTGAGCTCCGGAATGAGATGCGGGAACCTTCTAAGCCCTTCCAACCTCCTTGGCTAAGATTTGGAGCCTCAGTTTTATGCTCACAGACAAGGACTTCCCAAGTCTCTGCTGGTGGCAACAAGTTAGGCCAGTAGCAGAGTTGGGATTTTCTTCTGGAACTTTGCCTCCTCTTCTCAAACAAAATGCTGATAGCCATTTGCTGTTGGAGCTGTGTAATCTCTATGAGGTTGCCTTTCACGTCCATGAATTGGATTCTGTTTTTGTCTCTTGCTGTGGTCAGGGTTTTTTTTTTTTTTTTTTTTTTTTTTTTTTTTTTTTTTTTTTTTTTTTTTTTTTTTTTTTTTTTTTTTGCTCTCCTGTGCCACCTGCTCTGCTGTTATTGATGGCTGGGAATGTCAGCTTTGGAATGTGCGGGGGATGTCACATATGGAACAGGAGATCCTTTTATCCAAGGCCTAGGAAGTTTTGGCGAGGGGGGGCAGAATGAGGGAAAAAAATCAGAATTAAAGTTTTCAAGAAGTCTGACCAACTTCAGGGATAAGACTTTCAGGGGCAGGTGGGAGCATGTGCCAGCGTGCTGACTCCCTGGGCTCCAGGGGACAAAAGGAAGGGTGGGAGATAGGTATTTTTTTTTTAAATCACTTCTCATTTCATTTTTCCACCCCTTATATCTCTGAACATCTGGTCCTCTTTGCTATTGCTTTGACAGTCTTTTCCATCTGAGTTGAAGTGGGTAGGAGGAAGAAGAGGGGGTGGGGCAGATTGATGGGCCCTGAACTGAGCTGCTTAAGAATGAGGTACATCCCAGAAGGAGGGGAGGGAGTTTATCCCTGATGCACAGCATTGCTCGGGACTAATTCTGGAGTCATAGGCGAGCTCCTTTTATCTGATTATTTCTAGTGCCCTGTGCCTGCTACTTTTCCTTACAGTGAATTTACTTAAAATGGGACCAACATTTTAGTAGAAATCGCACAGGGTTTTTTCTTTTACCTAAGTCAACAGTGCAGAGTCCTGGTCCTTCAGCCTTCTGTGCTACCATCCTGGGGAACAACAGTTATCTCACAATTCAAGAAGATACTGGATTCTCCAGTCTTCAGGCCTCCTTTCAGTCAGCAGGAAGCAGGAAAGGATGAAGTAAGGCGAAAATTACACGCTCAGTGAGCCTTAGGGACGTGGCCTGGAGAGACTGTTATATGTAGTCTGTTGGCTAGAACCTGATGCCGTGCCCACACCTTGTTGTAAGGGACCCTACAGAATAATAGTGTTTAGCTTAGGTAGCACATTCCCAGCCAAGGGCTGGGGGAGGGGTGCTTCCATCTCAAACGTGAAAGCAGAGACTGGCTAGAGCCTTAGTACTAAGGAGTAGGGGGTGTGGGAGGGTCCCCAAACCGAGAAGCCCTCGCCACTGCCCCCATGCTACAGTACACTGTCATGGAAATTGGGGGTGCAGGTCAGAACATCCAGAAACCATGGTGAATTATGGATTTTTATAGACCCAGGAAGCTTTCTTAAGAATAGATTTCTTGCTTTTTTACAGTTAAGGGACAAAGCTCTAGGTTTTAACTGCCATATAACTCTCCACATTTCCCGCCTCTTGCTTTGATAATGCCTCTGGTGACAGAGGACTGGGGCTGAAGATCCGTTTTGTGATATTGCATACCTTTGGGGTTAGAAGTGCGACCCATTTCTAATATCACAGGTCAGGCCTTCCTTTCTCTAAGGTGTTCTGGAAAGAAACCCAGAACCTGTATTTGTGCTTAAATCGTAATTGAGCCAAAACAAAACAAAAGACACAAACCATGGGATGGAATTCAACTGTTTTTTTTTTCCTACAAAGTCCCTTCCAGTTAAAATGTTCACGCCTTTAATCCCAGCACTTGGGAGGCAGAGGCAGGTGGATCTCTGTGAGTTCGAGACCAGCCTGGTCTACAGAGCTAGTTCCAGGACAGGCTCCAAAGCCACAGAGAAACCCTGTCTCGAAAAACAAAACAAAACAAAACAAAAAAAAAAAAAAAAAGAAAAAAGAAAAAAAAAGAAAAAAAGAAAGAAAGAAAGAAAAAAAGTGTTCAGATCTAGATTTTATAGCATGGGAATCAGAATCAGACGGAACCGGGCTCCAATCTCTGACCTGTCCACTGTGTGACCTTGGGAAGCCCATCCTCAGATCGTAGCCTTGCTCTTCTGCTTGGCAAACTACGGCAGCAGTGCATGGTTGGGGCACAAAGCAAGGCTGTAGAGAGAGGTATCCATAGTGGACGTAAACAGCTCTAAGAAAGGTGATCACCATTGCTTGATTTGGTGGGAAAATGTGTCGAAGTAGGGCTGAGCTGACTCGGGAACGCTTGAAATGACTGTGCCTGTTTCACACGCTCAGATGGGTCTGCTTCTCTGAGGGCTTCCTGTAACATCAAAGTATTATGCTCCAGTGTCTGGATGCAGTGGGCATGGCTTCCTTCATGAGAAAGATCTGAACTTGCCTTGGACTCTCTAGAAAAACCCCATGGCATGAATATTCTGACTATAAAGAACTAGAATTGATGATTATAATGTCTTTTTCTCTTCCCCGGGCAAATTTGAAAGCACACATATTTAGCCTCTTGGTTGAATTATTACAAAAAAGAAGGAAGAAATCAAACTCTACCACATAAACTCTGCCACTGTTATTTTCCCCTAATAGAAACTTTATAGAGTACAAGTTTAATGTTGTGTATAGTTGACATATACAGATCAGAATATGCACTTAAAACAATAACCGCCACCAATAATATGAATTGAGACTGGGATGTGGCTCAGCAGAAGAATGTTTGTTTAGTATGTACAAGGCCATAGGTTCCATCCCCAACCTAGAAAACCAAAAGAATAAAAGAAACTATTAGTTAAACGTTAATATCATTTTGGGCACAGCTTATATCGTTACCCTGAGTAGTTTGGGTTGAACTTTCTCTGTAAACTGAGAACGAACAAGGCAGGCTGCAAGGTGGTAGATGTGGCCTGGTTGCTGCATACCACCCCACCATCATCCTCAGAACAGGTCGCAGAGACTCATGAACCAAACTCTACTCACGTGATAACTGATTCTGACAATGCTCTGGCAGGTTTCCATGTTGGAAAAGGCTTTGCAATTTTGTGTTTGATGGTTTGGATCTTTTTGCACCTGAAGTAGGATTTCAGGCTCAATGTCCCTATCAAAATAAGAATCTGGTAAGTGGGTCAGCTGTGGGTTGAGAACAGAGGGCTGATCTGTCGGAGAAGCCACAGAAAATTCATTTCGAGCAGCCGAACCCTCCAGGGGAGCCTGGAGCTTTACTACCGTACAGTGGAACACCTTCCCAAGTAAATACGGAAAATATGACTTATGGAAATCTGGTTGGTATGACA